AGCATTAAGCGGGAGCGATGAGTTGTTGAGACGACCTCCAACTCAAAGTAAACCAGCCGGATCGATGAACGGAGATAGCGACCTGATGGAGCTAGCCTTCCTGACTTGCCCATTGCGTCTAATCTCCTTTATGTTCGACCACAAACTTGCCAGCTGAACGTGTCGAACAAGAAGATGCGTTCCTTGCTGAATGTCAGTAACCGTGAGTCCAGGATGCCTAAGACGATGAACGAATTTATGCATTTAGGCGAATGTGCGCTGCATGCCAAAGAAATAGTTTGAAAATTTGCATCCGGACGTGAGATCGGCATGTGAAGACGCGATCAGCAATACACGTTTGCGAAGCTCAATGGTTGGAGTTTCAGAAACGGGAGATACAGGTCACTCATCCTAAGAGCCTAACAAAAACGAGGGGCCGTGAAACCACAGCTCTGACTGGATGAGGTGGCTGGGAAGCGAGCCTCTCGAGAGGATATCAGCGGGATTCAACGATGTGTGAACATAGCGCCATTCCATGCCTTGCGTCAACTCCTGAATTGTTGCCACTCGATTTGCCACGAAAACCTGAAATTTGGCTGGCTCATCCCGTATCCAAGATAACGCCGTAGACGAATCCGACCAGCAGTAAAACTGACCTGGGAAGATTCCCGTCTCCTTAAAGTTTCGCATAACCTTCGCAAGCCAATGGGCTCCACTGAATTCCAGCTTTTCGAATCGACAATGATTTTAGTGGCGCCACTCGTGACTTTGAGCACAAAACATTGCTTGACGACTCCCCTGGCCAGGACACGACATATATGCAAGCACCATATGCTTCCATGCTGGCATCAAAAAATCCATGAACCTCTACAATTGTGCTGGAATGATGCGAGGAAAAGAAATGCTTGCCAAACTGTTTCTTAAGTCAATCCAAGTTGAGTGCTGCGCTGTCGGTAGGCTTTCATCCCAGTCCAAATGTTCTCTCCAAAGCTGCTGAAGGAAAATCTTGCACCTGACAATAACAGGATTAATCAATCCAAGAAGTCGTAGCTTGGAGGGCCTTGAATTCGTGTCCAGCGCGGACAAGGCAAACAGAAGCTGATCCGACGCAAGGTCCCAAGCTACCCCAAGACATTTGGTAATGTCGCTTCCATCATGAAACCGTAGAAATTTCTCCACGTCGTCTTCTGGAATTCCATCAAGCACCTCCTGGTTACTCGAGCACCATTTTCTAAGCTTGAAGTTACCGCAAGACAGTAGACTTGAAGTTTGGCGCATCTTTTCCATGACCTCCGCGACCGAGTTGCCGCCAGATCATCAACATAGAACTCCTGTTGCAGAGCAGCTGAGCCAATAGGGTAGGGATTACCCTCGTCGATGGCCAGGTGGTGCATTGCACGGACAGCTAAAAACGATGCAGCCCTCGTACTGTCTGGTGGAGATACCTTTACGCAGCGGTACATTTTAAAAATGTCACCAGTGAGAGCGACGGGATATGTGCGGAACCGAATCAGTATGTTAAACAATGCAGGCTGAATAACAGAACCGTCATCATCACATCTTTTAACGAGCATCCAGTTGATGTAGCTGCAGAGCCATCGAAAACGACAAGGAGTTTTGTCGTGGTACTGTCCTCCTTTAAAACGCAGTGATGAGGCAGAAAATACTTGCAGAGGCTACGTGAGTCAGGATGGACTTTGGACATATGCTTTAAATCAGTATACTCCTTCATAAAAGCTGAGTAACGCTCCTTGAGCGCGGGATTACGATCCAGTTTTCGCTCCAAGCTGAGAAATCGTCGATACGCCTGAGTATAGGACTCTCCCAAGTGATCAGCATCATGCTTTAAAGGCAGTAGAACAGAGTACTCCCCTGATGGCAACCGTGAAAAGTGGCTTACGAAATGCGCCTCACAATCCACTTCTTCCTTTGTACTCAAGCTAGCCTCCGCACAATTCTCAACTTCCCAAAACATACGAAGAGTTCGATCCAACCTTGCATTCATTCTATCCTCCGAATCCGGAGAATTTTGGGTTGCCAAAAGCGACGAGCTTGATACCCTCTGTCCACCACCAGATACGATCCACCCAAGCCGGGTCTTCTGCAGAAGAGGCAATCCATCTATGAGCTTGATTTGCCCTAAGCAGAGAAGGTCATAGAATATGCTCGCGCCAATGAGGAGATCTACTCGCTGAGGATTAAAGAATGCAGGATCGGCAAGGTGAATGTTGGAGGGAATATTCCAATCGGCTACATTAACTGCCAGACTTGGTTGGCTATCTATGATTGTGGGTGCGATGAGAGCAGTGAGTGTGGTCGAATAGTCCGAAGTGCGAGACTGCATGCAAATGCTGACGGTGGATCCCTCACACGCTAGTATCGCCCAGACCAGAAACAAGGGCAGACGATTGAGTTCTCCTAAGCTGAAGCTGCTGGGCGAACCTGGAGGTAACGAGATGAAGCTGAGATCCTGAATCTAGAATAGCGGGACAAGGAACCAAAACGCCAGATCGATTCTTCACCAAAACAACAGCTGTGGCCAGCAGCACAATATCGGAGTGGAGACCTTGGGCAGCAAGAGAGGTAGACGCATGAGACGGCACACTGCTGGCAGAATCCTGAACCGGCGTAATAGCTCCTGGTTGTACTGCTTGTTCTGGAGGAGAACCAGCTGGGGAGCTTTGCGCTATAGATGAGTCGAAGTGCAACAAGGTATGATGCCTCCTTCCGCAAACTCTACACTGGCCACCTGTGCATGCACGAGTCCGATGACCCGATTTTAAGCAGTTAAAACACAGTGACAGCTTCTTCACTTCCTTGTAACGCAGAAATGGAGATAAATTTGTGAAGATGTTGCACGAGTTTATTCCGTGGCCCGTTGAATGGCAGAAAGAGCATCCAGACGGGTCGGCGGAAGAGTTAGAGGCAACAAAGGTTTTCTTTAGATGTGTAGACTGGCTTTTTCCCATCTGAGCGCTACCAGCGTGTGTCGCAATAGCGTACTGCAAGTTCTCTGGGATCGCTTCTCCAGGAAATCGTCGAGCTCCCCAGCTGTAGGTATCCTGTCCGCTTACACAGTCTCTTCCCATTTGGTTTGGGTCTTCGCATCTAGTTTTTGCAGCAGCCTGTGGACTATCATGCATCCCGATATCTCCTCAGCACTTCCTTATGTCTGCAGGGCGCGCGTATGCAAGTTGACTGCGTCCGAAAACTCCCGAAGCCTTTGAGCAGAAGGCGAATCTACCTTCTTGAGCCCAAGAATCTCCTTGATGTGTGACTACAAAACAAGTCGTTTATTATTAAAACGTTTGCTAAGTATGTTCAGAGCCACACGATAATTGGCACTGAAGAGCTCCAACGATCGAACCGAATCCAGGGCCGCATCCGAGAGACATGAGCGAAGATGTTGGAACTCTCGATTTCACTGAGATCTGCATCCCCTTCGATGACCGAATTGAACATGGCTATAAAATCCGAATATTTTTATTTGCACAAAATGTATTTGTTGGTCGTTAAACCGCACAGCAACGAATATCTTATTCGATTTTTACAGTTTTTAAACGAAACGCGATTAAAATTGTAGTTAAGTCACGTCGGGGTCACCAGTGTTTGAGATGCCAAGCTTTTTTGCCACCTATATCTTTCCAAAATCAGTTAAAAGACTTTCGACTTACAACTTTACAATATTTATTTATACCGGCGGCAAGCTGAAGCCAATTGCTCGCTCGTTTGCCTGGCCAGATAAATGTGCACAAGAGGGGGTTCGTTATGCAACCTATGCGGCGAGAGATTAGCATCAAATCAAGAGTCGAAGCGGCAGGTGCAGAGCGCCCTTTAACAGGGAGAGCGCAGCAGCTCTGTTACGATACTCTTATACAAATAGGTACAGCTACATTTAATATTAAGAAATATTAATAAAATATACGCTTAAATAGCCGCTGGCCCGAATTTTGTGTCACTCATTCAACAGAACCTTTTTGTATGAAAAATTGTTTTCTGAAAAATTTGTTGAATTCCTAAACATTAAATGATCGTACTACATAAATCATAAGCTGACAAATTTATATACTGACTAAGTTCAGGTATAAAAGTAAAGTCGCGTCCACAGAACCGACTCACAAGTTTCTTTTCGTTTTTATACCCGTACTCAAAAAAGAGTTAAAGGGTATATTCGATTTGTGGTAAAAGTGGATGTGTGTAACGCAGAGAAGGAAACGTTTCCGACCCTATAAAGTATATATATTCTTGATCAGCATCAATAGCCGAGTCGATAGAGCCATGTCTGTCTGTCCGTCTGACCGTCTGTCCATCAGTCCGTCTTGTTTGTCGGCTGGATCTCGGAGACTATAAGAGCTAGGGCAACCAAATTTGGTTTCCAGACTCATGTGATATCACACTGCTACTAATGTATATCAAAATTTCGCCCCGCCCCCTTCCGCCCCCACAAAGGAGGAAATTCTGTGGCAGGCACATTTTTAAAGATACGATAAAACTGAAAACGCAGTATCGTAGAGAATGACCATATCTACCAGATCATAATTATAGCCAGAATGAAGAAATTCATTTCCTTCTGCCATCGACCCGATACTCATTCTTTTTCTCGCTCGCACACTCTGCCTCGTTATGTACGCGAGCGCCCTCCAGCGGAGGTGATGTAGAAAATGGTATATGTGTAATCTACAGGTTAGATGTATAATATACATAGTAGATAAGCTCAAAAATGTATATACTGACTAAGTACGGGTATAAGAAGAGTCGCGTCCCTAGAAGCGACTCACACGTTCCTTCTCGTTTTCTTTTTCTATTGAAAAAATAGCACAATGCTTGTTTTTTTTTTTGGTTCGAATAATTATAATTATAATGCTAAGCACAACAAGCAACAGAGTCAGAAAAGTCATATTTGATTTTTCGGCTTAATTGGCAAAAGTCAGAGCAGAGAAAAAAAAAACTTTTGTAAATTACTGATAAAACATTCCATTCTTGTTTTTAATATTAAACTTGTCCTTTAATTTTCGTTACAGATTCCTTCAGCAAGGTGCTTTAGCACGAACTACTGCATCAACGAAAATGAACGATCAGTCATCACGATCACATGCATTGTTTACAATATTTGTCCGTAGGCAGCGTTTACTTACGCCTACAAACGATGTTTTAGATAACGACCTAGAAACTTTGACTTCGAAGTTTCATTTTGTCGATTTGGCAGGTTCTGAACGTCTTAAACGGACTTTGGCTACGGGAGAACGTGCACGTGAAGGCATCTCTATCAATTGTGGACTTTTATCTTTAGGAAATTGTATTTCAGCGCTTGGTGATAAGTCCAAAAGAGCTTTACATGTCCCTTATCGCGACTCAAAGCTAACACGGCTTCTTCAAGACTCATTAGGTGGTAACAGTCGGACTTTAATGATTGCATGCGTATCGCCAAGCGATAGAGACTTTATGGAAACATTAAATACATTAAAGTATGCAAACCGAGCGAGAAATATAAGGAATAAAGTTCAAATAAACAAAGATCAAAGTTCTCGAACAATTTTACAATTGAGAAGAGATGTTTCAGCTTTACAATTGGAATTACTAGAATATAAACAGGTAATTTTTAAACAAACCACAACTATTCCCATTAGCAACCCAATAGATTTCAAGTCAGTTATAAAGTGACAAACAGAGATAGCATGAGAAAACGATGAATATTACATAAAATAAAAAATGTAAACACTTATAAGTGTTGTGGGAGACAGAAAGCTTACGCATTGGAGATCTCTCTGTAAAGAAATTAGAAATAAGTTAAAAAGTCATGTTGGATAGTGCCTTAATTGTGGCAGGGTATGTCAGTATTTCTCCATATTTTCTATCCTCTTTCTCGCTCGCACACACCCTGTCCTGTAAAATGCGCGACGAAGAAGATGTAGAATCTACATTTTAGATGTGTAATCGACATTGTAGATGTAGATAACAGAAGTAGAAAAAAAATTTAAAATTTAAAATATTATAAAATTCTACATAAATCATAAGCTCACAAATATATATACTGACTGAGTACGGGTATAAAAGTAGAGTTGCGTCCCCAGAAGCGACTCTCACGTTCCTTCTGGTTTTTTTTCCTTTTGCAATTAAGATTCGTGTTGTTGTATAAAAAGTCGTTTACTGTTCATTTCGGCGTTATGATGTCCATACTCGTACAAGTCGCAAGGGAAAATGATAGTCCGTACATACATAAATGGTTTAACTAAATACACAAAGCGAATTTTTCTATTATTTTTAGGGTAAAATAGTAGTGGACTTCGACGGAAATGCAACACGTTCGGACACATTTAATGAAAATATCCTGCTCTTATCAGAAAATAAACGGTTAAAGCAACGTCTCAATTCAATGCAAGAAACAATTAAAACGTTAACTGAACGAAATGTTCATCTGAAACTAGAAAAAGATTTAAATAAATGGTCAAACGACCCAAATTTAGATTTAGATAAAAATAATATTGTTGAATTTTATATTAAAGAAATCGAAAAACTTAAAGCTAAATTAATAGAATCTAAAGAAATGCAAAACCAACTGAAAAATTATATTGGAAAATGGCAACAACCCCTTAAAAGTGTCTATAATGGTAAGCAAAAGTAACTTTTACCCAAAAGTTTCGACTCCCGAATCTACTCCTTTTTGTTTTCATTCTAATAATGGCGTTTGTAACTCTTTCTACATTTTGTATCCTAGAAGAGCAAGGAAATATTATAAACTTAGCAAAAAAAGGTTTAGAGAGGGACAAAGAATTATTAATGTCACGTTCCTTATCAGGGACACAAAACCAAAATGACAGATTTGATGAATCTGAAATTTCCAGTAGCGATTCGGAAGGTAATGTCATATATAAAATATCTTTGAAATTCTTTATATTAATAAAAATTAATATTTTCATCATAGCAGAAGGAGTGGTAGCAGACTTGCATGACATTAACTCAGACATCGAAATTAAAAGTAAGTTAATTGAGCAACTTGAGTTGTCACAGGAAAGAATGGAACTTATGCGTCGACACTATGAAGACAAACTTACTGTGCTAAATTGTGCGATTCTGAATACTCAAAAGGAACGAGATGAGTTTTTGAAAAATATGGGTAGGTATAAATGCGTTAAAAGATTTCAACTATAAATGAATGAACACTGTCTATGTTTTAGTTTCATCCACATCAGTAAAATCAAAAGATAATTTAAAAAAAATGAAAACAGAATATGAACGCAAGATAACAAATATGCAATGTGAACTCAAAAGGTTACAGAACGCACAGACGGAGCATATTCGACAACACAGAGAACTTAAATCACAAGGAGCTAGAATAAATACCTTGCGAAGCGAACTTGAAAAATTGAAGTTCACTAAAGTAAGACAATTGCATTGTCCTGATTAAAATTATGTTTATTGAAAATAAGTGACTTCTTCATATTTCCAGGTTAAATTGATGAAATCAATTTCAGAACAATCTAATCGACATAAAGAAGAGGACACTAAGAAATCAAGAAAAATATCAAAATTACAAGAGGATCAACGTCGCCAAAAAAATGCATTATTATCTTTAAAAGAAAAAATGAATGCCAAAGATCAAATTTTAAAGCGAAAAACTGAAGAGGTAATTGCCCTCCGCAAAAGTCAAAGAGGCCGATTAATCCAAAAAGGGGCTTGCAATTTAATATCGAAAGTCGAGAGCCTAAATTCTCGATCCACCCATCAGCAATGGGAAAAGTTGTATGGCTTTATATTACACGCAGCAAGAACAAGGCAACTGATCACACAATTAGAAAATGAATTGCATCGCTTAATATTGGAACGGGAAGATCTTTGTCGTGAGCTAAACATAATGCAAAATTGCCAAAACTTGGATAAGACATCTGAAGACTTCAATGAACTAGACAGCTTAAAGACCAACATTAGGTATATACAAGAAACTATAGAACATGTACAACAAGCAATTATGGAATTCGAAGACAGTAAAGACTCTGCTCAGAGTGGGATATATAAGATACAGAATTTTTTGGATAATATGAAAACCGTTGAAGAAGCAAAATATATTCTTCAAAAGCTTTCCGACAGTGCCATTATACTGACATGTAATTTGGCCATAGCGGAGACCCATTTGCAGGAAAATGAATCACTCCTACAAGATGCTCAACAAGAAAACAGCATTCAACATCAGATACTACAACATTTTCTGTCGCTAAACAGTAATGTGCATATATCTGATGTATTTGTTTCTTTAAATCTCAAAAGCAATACAAATAAACTATGTCACAGTTCCCAAAAATCGTTATTAAGTACTGGAACATATGACATACCTAAAGAGGATATATTTGTAGATTCTACATATAACGAAAAAACAGCAATAAGTAATAGAACCCCATCACCTTCTGGAATTGACACGTAAGAATATAATTTTTAATAATATTTATTATACCGCACTAACAGGGTCTTAAGTTAATAGTGTTAGCGTGCTGAATTATCGTATTTGTATTACTCCTTTAACTTCTTGAGTGTCCTTGTAATACACTCTCGACAAAATCGAACTTTTTTCTCAAGGAACCAAACCGAATTTTTTTATAGATTGGGAGCTTTCAATCCTTTTTTTAAGCTTTATGGATTTTATTTTTTATGGTAGAACTTTTATTGGAAAATTTTTGAAAACTGGTATTTTTTAAAACTTTTTTCAGAGGTAGCGCTTCTTTATTCACATAACTCAAGTATCTTGTTGCAAAGAACTTTGCCATTCCGAAAAGCTATTTAATGCAGCTAGAAAATGTACTCAAGAATATTGTGGTTTTAGCTAACCATCTGAGAAATATTAGCTTTCAAATGCAAAAATTATGGTTTTTGTTGTCTTTTTCCAAAATTTTGACTTTGAAAACTCAAGAAAAGTCGAGAAAAAATATATCCTGTCCTTTATTTTGTTGTGTATAGGTGCACTAAGTCGGCGTCGTTTAAGGTATTGCTCATTAAAAAGTCGGGCTCCCGTTTTCACTCTCACAAAAACGAAAAGTCAGGTGATCCCTAAAGCTAGCGTTGACAATACGTCCCAGCCAATCGATGTGAAACGTGCCACATATGCCGACGACTCGGCAGTCCGGCAAGGGCCAACTGCGTTTACGACGCCACGGACAACCTCCAGCGGTACCTTAAAAGGTTTGAGAACTGGGCATGAAGGTGGAATATCAGTGTGAACCCTGAGAAGTGTGTGGTAGTGACACACACCCTTAGGAAAGGAACGTGCCCTGGGGTATTTCTTCATGGCGAGCTGTTGTAGCAGCGGAAGGAACATAAGTACCTGGGAATCACGCTGGACACCTACCTGAGCTTTGCCAGCCACACAAGGATGGTCAGAAGCGCCTTGGAAAGCAAGGCTAGAAAACTCTACTGGCTTAAGCCTAACAACAAGCTCAGCCTGACCAACAAGATACGCAGATAGTAAATAGAAATTGTCCTTGACCCTTAACAAAAGTTGCTAATTAACAGTAACAGAACGTTTAGTGATTGTACTTTGTTGTCTGTGATAATTGTTTACAATAAAACTACATAATGAACCTAAAAAATACTCGTACTCAAAAAAGAGTTAAGGGGTACATTAGAATTGTGGTAAAAGTGGATGTGTGCAACGCAGAGAAGGAAACGTTTCCGACCCCATAAAGTATATATATTCTTGATCAGCATCAATAGTCGAGTCGATATAGCTATGTCCGGCTGTCTGTCCGTCTTCTTGAGCGCCTGGATCTCAGAGACTATAAGAGCTAGGGCAACCAAATTTCTTTTCCAGACTCATGTGATATCACACTGCTACAAATGTATTTCAAAATTTCGCCCCGGCCCCTTCGGCCCCCACAAAGGACGAAAATCTGTGGCAGGCACAATTTTAGAGATACGATAAAACTAAAAACGCAGTATCGTAGAGAATGCCGAATCTGAATCAGATCGGATCATAATTATAGCCAGAATGAAGAAATTAATTTTCTGTTGGTTCCCCCGCCTACTTCAGCCAGAGACCCACTATTCATAAGTAGATTCGCGTCCCCAGAAGCGGTGTGAGTTCCTTCTCGTTATAAATAATTTTTGAATAAACCAACCTTAAAATTTGATCTGAAAAATTTGGTCTGGGCAACAACAAATAGTTAATTCCTCCAAACAGCTGTGGCAGCCCGATTTGGCTATCGGTAAATCTCTGTTAAGCATAAGGCCTCTGTTAGCCTTTTCTATGAGCTGGCACTAACGCGTGGGTGTAACAGCAGAAATACAGGGAGTAATACTGTGGATTCCAGAGCGTCTTGAAATGAAAAGTATGACTTTTTGCTGAAAAGTAAACCGCAAAGTGAATGTGAAAGACCTGTCTGATAATCATGAATGCTTTGTAATAAAATGTCAAAATGTAAACAATCATGTTTACTTTTTGGATCATATTCCATATTGGGAAAGTCAATAAATATTGCGATTAACGGGGGTGTGAGAAGTACCTAAAGCACGATGTTTCCTTCTAGGTGTTAAATACATTTACTTGAATTATATGTACTTATGAGTACCGGGTTTTCTTTAAAGTAACAAAATTGACTTATGTATTTAAAGACTAATGCAAAGCGATATTAAATATGACACTTTTGTTTTTTTTTTTTTATTGGTAGCTTACCGGATAAGACTTCCAAAATACGCCGCCGAACTGCTAGGAAGCAAGATCTTCTGTTTGGGGACATTAAAATTGCACCCAAGGTAAAATGCCCTTACTATAACTAATCTCATGTACTCAAGCTATACACTTCTTTATCGCCTAGACTGGCAGAATGTCGCGATCGTACACACAAAATGATGTCATCTGTGATAATCCGCTTATACGAGTTTCAAGTACTCCAGGATATTTAAAGCTCTAGCACATACAATATAAGAGCCTTATGGAATTCTTAATAGCACTATGCAACAAAATCAAACTTTTTTAATCTGGAATTAAATTTCCTCTTTTGCTTTTTAGTTTAAGCTTTGGCTTGCCGTCTTAGTAAGCTTTAAATAAATAACACTACTCGACAAAATCGAACTTTTTTTTTCCTCAAGGATCCAAACCGACTTTTTCTGATAGATATGGGGATTTAAAATTTTTTAAAGAATTATGGTTTTTTTTCTATGGCAGAACTTTTTTTTGAAGAATTTTTGAAGTCTGGTATTTTTTTTTTTAGCTTTTTTCAGAGGTAGCGATAGTTTTTTTCACATAACTCTAATATCTTACGTCTGTTTGTAAAGAACTTTGTTATTTTGAAAAGATAATTAAAACAGCTACAAGGTAAGCCCAAACACTTGATGATTTTAGCTTACCGTCTGGGAAATATAAAGCATTGAAATGCAAAAATGATGATTTTTGTGCGGTATTTTTTACGAAATTTTGACTTTGAAAACTCAGGAAAAGTCGAAAAAAAATTATATCTTGTGTCCTCTATTTTTTTGTGTACAGGTGCGTTAATTTGGCGTCGTTTAAGGTATCGCTCATTAAAATCTATGGAGAGACTTTGGAGCTAAAATTCGTTAACCAAACCTAAAATATGGTTACCTGGATACCTATTCAGGTCAAATATTTCCTTTATATTCTCACAAGTGCAGGTCCACAAAAATTGGATCTTTCTTTCGTTGTGCCCAATCTGAGGTATGGGTACCTGTTCAGGTCAAATGTTGACCTTTATTTTTACACAAATTAGACGTTTGTCGCTTCTACCAATCATAGTCATGGATATATAACTCTGTGCCTATAATGTCTGTGCCTTAGTGTAGTTTTGACTTCCCTCAGAATACGATCGTGTGTTTACCAAAACATCTTGCAATTAATTAAAATCAATTGTCATGGATACCTCTGGCCGATCATTTGCATGTGCTTTTCCTGAGTTTTCAAAGTCAAAATTTCGTAAAAAATACCGCACAAAAATCATCATTTTTGCATTTCAATGCTTTATATTTCCCAGACGGTAAGCTGTAATCACAAAGTGTTTGGGCTTAACTTCTAGCTGTTTTAATTATCTTTTCAAAATAGCAAAGTTCTTTACAACCAGACGTAAGATACTAAAGTTATGTGAAAAAAACTATCGCTACCTCTGAAAAAAGCTAAAAAAAAAATACCAGATTTAAAAAATTCTGCAAAAAAAAGTTCTGCCATATAAAAAAAAAAAAAATATCATCAAACCATTTCTACGCCCCAAATCTTTAATTAAAAGTTGGTTTTGTTCCTTGAGGAAAAATCGTGTTGAGTAGTGTAATTTATCATTTTTCTGCGGTTTTTTTTATTCAAAGTGAAGGTAAAGAAATGTTAAAAAGCAAAATTTTGTCATATAATAAAAATTATTTCTACAATAACATTCTATAAATCCGATTTAATTAAATTTAAAATTTTTATAGACCTATAAAAGTATTTAAATACTCTAATCCCAGTGGGGCCTTTGCCAAAATCAGCTGGAAGAATTCAACATTGTAAAAATTGTATGAGCGCTTTGGATAGTTCGAACAAACGAATCTAATAGACAATTTTTAGGTCCAAAGTTGATAATTTACCAAATTCTTCACTTTTACCTGACTGCCATTGGAAGCAGACATGTAAATTTTCTCTAAAAAAAAACAAATAAAAATTAATAATTTTTAAACAATTTCGTATATTTCAAACTTTGCGTATGGATGAATTTTCTGAATTGGATTCCGTTTCCGATGCAGAAAAATACCAAGGCCGCTCAAAAACCAACGCGATCGGATGGCACTCCCCATACCTGGACAAGTACTCGAGTGACCTCAGAATGGCATCTGTCGACGCAATCGTCAAGAACTATGGAGTCAATAGAAGAACCGATCAACAAGGGCGTTTGCAGCTCTGACAACGAAAACTTCACACAGCTTCCCGCAATTCACAACAGGGTTGGCCCATACACCTTTTGCGAGCACAGCCCCATTGCACTTGGCCACGACTGTCAACCAAACTCCGGCAACTAACGAAAATGCAGCAGTAGGAGCCTCCCACAGCCAAAACCAATCCTTGCCCCCATGGAACGGGGCGACTGTAAAACCCCCAACTTTCCAGCCTGCTTTCGTGGATTGGGAAAAGGTGCCAAGGAGCGAAACCGCAACCGCAGGCAGTCCCCACAGTCCTTCCACTCTAAAGGCCAATGCCCTCCCTCAGGTCGCGACCTAGATGCAGGGACCATTACTGTTATCCTGCAGGTACTAAAAAAATCCGTGGCAGATCTCACAGCAGCAGTTGCAGGGATACTGCAAAGCTTGGACCAGCTGCGAAGCACAGAAGCACCTCTTCCCTTACACACATCCAGAGATTCACAATGATGTCGGAACTACGGATCGGACTCTGGAACGCTCGCGGCATTGCTCACAACTGCAATGAACTGGCGCTATTCTTGCGTGCTCACAATGTCGACGTGATGCAAGTCACAGAGACTCAGCTGATAGAGGGAAGGCATTACACGATGGATGGCTACGATGTATACAAAGCGGATCACCCGAGCAACACGGCCAGAGGAGGAGCTGTCTGTCGTCCTCATAAAGAGGACCAGTGCGGAGTTCGACAGCTTGCTTAGCCAGTTTGGAAGCAGGTTCATTATTGAAGGCGACTTCAATGCTAATCACAGAATCTCGGGCAGCTACATAGGAGACTGCAGAGGAGCGGCACTGCACGATGCCCTCACAAACTTCGCGGACCAAGTTCTAGCTGCGGGTAGCCCCACCTTTTACACAAGTTTTCGCCGTTCCACGCCCTCATGCCTGGACTTTTTCGTCTAAAAGTCGATCCCCAGCAAACTGCTCTCAGTCCGTGAGGAGCACGAGCTAAGCTCCGACAACTTATCACTAATCGCGAAACTAACGGCTACACTCCAGATGAATCCTGTAAAGATGAGGATACTCAAGACTGGAACAAACACTGCCCTGTTCAGAGAAATTCTGGAAGGCACCCTGGACCTAAACTCGGAGCTGAGGACCACCGAGGAAGTGGAAGGGGCCATTGACTCATTTGTGGCCAAGGTCTGCAAGGCTGCTGCAGCTGCTGGCCCACAAGGTGACCAAGACACTCCATCGACACAAAAGCGTTACGTCGAGTGAAGTAGAAGGACTACTGCTTGTAACAAAAAAAAGGCTTAGGAAAGAATTCCTTCGCACCAATGACCCCTGGCTGGATAAACTCTTTAGTAGCCAACAGGCTGAGGAAGAAGCTGGCTAAGTTAAAGTCCGAAGCCACCGACAAACTTCTATCTGAGACGACTGCAGACGTGCACTCGAACCACACGAGATAGAAGCTCATGAGCCGGTACAAACGGAAATCTACCCCTAACTTCACAGTAAGGAAAGCAGACGGCTCATGTTCGGGTTCAGCAGGAGTGCAGATTCAGACCATTCAGGACGGCTCCAAAGAGGAGAACAAGCCTAGTTGCTGATAACCTGGATGAAGTCCACCAAATTTAGATTCTGGTGGCCCCAATCACGATCTAGGAACCAAAGACGGATATCCGTTTGTTCAAAGCTAAAAAGGCCCCAGGAAAGTACAATATAAATAACAGAGTGGCAAAAGTGCTGTCACTCAGAGCGCTTTTGTACCTGTTACAAATACTGAATGCAACGCTGAGGTTGGGGCACTTCCCCAAAGCATAAAAAGCAGCGCAGGTTGTCATGCTGCATAAACCCGACAAATCCCAATTACAAGCCAATCAGCATGCTCCCCACTTTTGGGAAGCTCCTGGAGCGCTGCATTTTTGGCGGATTATTGGACAGCCCATCCGTAAATCGAGCTGTTCTTAATCACCAATTTGAGTTCAGGCTGAGGCATGGCAATCCGGAGCAGCTGCATAGGGTGGTGGAGCATATCCTGGATGGCTTCCACAAGAAGCAGTACGTCGTAGCAGCGTACCTGGACATCCAGCAACCATTCGACGGATTACTTGTGTTTTGTAGGAGGGTGGATGTTGGTCGTTCCCACAGTTCGGATTCCCAAATAAATAAAAAGGCGGGGGCGTCAACTATAATTCTGGCGTATTTGGCGTGCACAAAGCTGAGGGCTGGTTGTAGGTAGGCGCGTAGGTGTCGAGAGACTGTTCTCTCCCGCTCGGCCTACGGCTAGCGCCCGTGATGGAGCGCCGAGTGGATCGCGTCCACGCCGCGCGAGAGCGAAGGGCATGGGAGAGCGCGCGAGCTAACAGAGCGCTGTTAACCGCGCTGCTGCCCTAAACATCCTCCCCCCCCTTGCAGGACTGCAACATCACCTCCTATGGCTGCGTACAGGCCCCGGACACAATCCATCCGAAAACGGTGCTTTGGGCCACTGGAAGGCCGTCTCCTCGAGCAAGGAACCCGGGTTTGATCACCTTCTGGTAGACATCCGCTCCCAATACTAGAGAGACGGTGGCCGGGCGATGGAAATGCTCATTGGCAAGGCTGATGTCGTTGAACCTGACCCGAGTCGCCTCGCTCAAGGGTCGCAGCGGAGTGCGGACGCGTAAGCGGGGCGCCAGTTTGAGGACCACGTCCAATTGGACATCGCTGGTCCTGGCGCGGATAATGGCTGTGGCCACCTTCTCCGCTCCGATGCGCCGGATGACCCACGATGGGTCGGCGATCGGCTCGGGACACTGGAGCTGGAGACGGACCTGGAGTCACGGCTGACGACTCCGAGCGGGCTGGGCGCTGAGAGGACCACGTCTTTGGGCGTCTTGCGGGAACCCGTTGGCGGCGATCGGCTCGGTACACCGGAGCTGGAGACGGACCTGGAGTCGCGGCCGACGACTTTGAGCGGGCTGGCCGCCGGGAGGGCCCCGGCTTGGGGCTTCTTTCCGGAGAACGGGGGCGGCGATCGGCTCGGGACACCGGCGCTGGAGACGGAGCTGGCGACTCCGAGCGGGCTGGGCGCTGGGACGGTCGCATGTGGAGCAGCGTGTGATGGTCCTTGTGGCACACCTTGCACCGGCCACCACTTCGGCAATCCTTGCCAGAGTGCTGATGAGCCAGGCAGTTCCGGCAGTATTTGTTGACCAGCACGGCTCGGAGCCTCTTCGCCACGCTCAGCTTGAGGAAGCTACGGCAGTCT